ATATACTCTTTTAAAATCAGTGTAAGAGTAGGACACACGGAAATGCTCTTTAATTACTCTTTGAAGAGGTATCCGGATGAAGTTTATGGGAGTACTCCATTATTGCTCGTTTGGGAGGTTATTATGGTAGTACCTCCCTATTGCTCCCTTAGGAGGTTTGTGGGAAGATATTTCTCACCCCGATTGCTCGTTTAGGAGGTAAAAAGGTTTACTCGCCCTCCTAGGCCATACAATGTTTAAGGGAGTATACAAAGTTACATACACAGAAGCATAGGGAGCAATGTGGAGTATTCATATACTTCCAAGGGAGTACACATCGAGCAATTATACGATGCTCCCAAATTCTATAGGGTATGTACATATGTGCCTGTGCTTCAGCCAAACCTGATAATATTAATGGTGAGTAGCACTCCACTTAGCGCTCAGTAGCATTCAATTAACTTGCTGTGTGTGTGTGTGTGATGCATTGTGTTCACATTAAAAAAGGTGTAAATTCTGCTTAGTTTTGTGTGTTTGCAGTGCTTCTAATATTAAATACGCACTAATTTATTTAATACCCTGTTGCATTGTTGCAGAAGAAAATACTGCATGCTGGACTTGAACTGCCTAACTGGCTTTCTAAATACATTTGTTCCTCGTATGCCGCTTGAAATACTGTAACACACCTCTCCTCCACGATTCCGTATTTGTATTTGCATTCACATTAACGTACAACATTTCTTGGAACGCGTACTATCACTAACCACATCACCCGTTATGCCGCTAAATTTGTTCACCGATGAAGCATTCGAGTAACCGGTAGACTGATCACCACCGCTCGTTAAGCTGCCGCCGCTCGTACCATTGAAATCTAGAAGACTAGGATGTAGACCCCCGCTTAGTGGTTGTTGATGCACTGCGCCACCAGCACCGCTTATTTCACCCGCCGACACAATTGAGTTGTTATTGTTGGATGAATTGCCTGTATGCAAATGATTGTTGATCGTATTGCTGGTGTTATTAGCGGCTCCTAGAACAGAACCATTTTCACTAATCAATACATTGTTTGTGCGCGAGAGGGAACGTTGCTTCTTCAAATTGGCCAATGTGGCTGCAGCATAAGAAGCCGATGCAGAGTTGAGGCTCTCCATGGAGAGTGTATGCGGTTGTATTAGTGTGGCTGTCATAGCCGTTGCTGGCATTTGCTGACCTTGTTGTAGTTGTTGATGATGATGATGGGTATTTGTGGTGTCTGTGTGTGGGAGTGTGAGTGCGTGTGGCGGGCAGTGCGTGCGTGCATACGTGAATGAATACGTGCAAATGCATGTAGGAAGGCATTTGTGATAGAGTACGATGTAAACATAAATGCGATGATTTTTATGATGGATAAAGGTCAAGCGGCGATCAGACACATTCGATGCGATACGACGAAATCATAGTCGTGGATATGAAATTAATTTACGACATTGGTACAACAACAACAATGACATGCGGGACATATTCGATTAAGTGGCGAGAAATAAAAGAAAGAAAAAACAAATGTAGAAAAATACATTAATGACTGCAAGCAACAAAAATATGATTTGTATGTATGGTGTAGAATTGGGATAATCAGTATATGTACGTTTGCAAATACTCTAGGGGGTGTTGTTAGCTTAGTTCTTTTTAGCTTATTTAACGAATGTATATTAGTTTGTATGATGATCTTCAGTTTTAATTGCCAGTTAATTTTACACATAAAAAATCAACATATTCGCTAAACTATGAGCCAAATATAGAAAACTGCGTTTTTAGTTTTTCTCTCTGACGCCAGGTTTTTTTCAAAAAATTTGAAATTTCAATTTAATTTTTTTTTTGTGCACAGGCACGTACAGTTGCAAATATCTCTTTTAAATTTTTATCCTTGAATATCCCAGAAAATTTGGATATCTTCATCCTCGGCCTTCTAACTTTGTTTGCTAGACAAAAAAAAAAATTTTAAAAGAGCATTTTCAATATCTATTCGTCCTAGCAAACAAAAAACTTTAATTATTTTTAATTCTACAGAATTTTCTCTTTCATTTGGTACCCATATTTTGGTTTTAATAATTTTTTTAACTAACCATATCTTTGAAATTTCTGAAGTTCTTTAAAAACAAAAACTAAAAACGCAGTTTTACTATATTTGGCCCATGGTTTCGTGAGTATATTAATTGCTACGTGTATTTTGAAATTTGTTGGTTTTTGTTGCTCTATGAAATTTATGAGATCGACCTATCTCAGCTGCCGATTCAAAAACGTTGAGATGGGATGTTTTTGAGCCAAACTGTGAGATACGGCGTTCCTCAACCAAATTTCGAAGTAGAGCTTTCTTGAAAAGTTGTCTGAGATAGGGCGCTTTGTAACTGGCTGCCGAGGTAGGTAGATCTTCCACTCAGCCGTCGATATGTAGTATTCCCAAAAATAATTGCAATAATTACCGATCAAATACGATTGAATAAAAATCATATTATGTCGAAACATTTGTAACCAACTTTTAACGATTAATTTACGATTCTTATAAAAATTATAACTGATACAGCCACTGCTTTGTTTGCAGTGGTTTCTCTATATGTCTCTTCTTAACAGAACTTTAAATGAAAATAGTTATTTGTTACATAAAGAAAATATTTAAAAGAAATATATCGTTAAAACTGTACAACTCCGAAAAGGTATGCAATTTTGTTTCATGTTTTGTTACTGCAGTGTAAAAGTAATTTAACAGAATATATTTCAGGGTTAAGTCCTAATAAATTTTTCATGTACATATATTATAATGAAAAAGCGCTAATAAGAACATCTAAAAAATTAAACATTTGGCTAGACGTAAAACATAACAAATGTGAAAACATAAAAGCATGCTTTCAGGCGCTTGAACGATGGCACGATGAAAATAAAATACAATACAAGTTTGTTGGTCTGAGTTGATGCTTCCGACAGGGTGAGAATAAATAAAAGCGTGGCATTAATCATACTTTTCGTAGTAATTTAACACACTCAACAACATAACTGCAGTTATTTCTTTTTTTTTCAACGCATACTCTCTCCTACATCCCCTCCCCTCTGTTTCTTCACCTTCTTACCACTTCATCGTCTACTCACCCACTAGCACCGTCACTTGCACATTTATCTTGCCATTCGCCGCCTCTTTACTGGACTGTATGTGCACCGCATCTGGTCCGGCAGTCGATGTCGCCGCTGCTGCCATATTACGATCGCTTAAAATCATCGCTGTCGCCGATGTAGAACGATGATGATGTTCACCACCCGCTTTATATGCATTCAGTTGCAATTCATCATTCTCTCGACCTTCTGGTGGTCGACGCGAATTATATGTATGTGTGGAAGCATCCATTACATCGATGGCGGACAGCGAATGTGGCAAATAGGAGTTGGCGGCAATGCCATTTGTCGCTGTCGCGCTCGCCGCAGCGGCCGTCGCCGATGAAGTAGTGGCAAGACTAGCAGTATAGGCTGCAACTTTCTTATCGTTGTTGTTATTAGTACTAATTGTATTATTATTGTTATTATTGGCGTTGATATTATTATTAGTTGGTGCTTTCGTTAGCCAATTGTAGTCGTGTGCGGAGGCGGACGTTGTAGTGGCGGCTGTTGTATGGTCGTGGGCGCCATCTAATAGCGCCAACGTGGAATGATGATGATTGGTAGTGTTGTTGCTGACACCGTTTACATCGGTAAGTGCTGCACTATCAGGCGCAATGAACACTTCTTGCGCTTGCAGACGAAGGCGAGCCTCTTCAACGGCGTCCTTTTTGGTTGTTAGCGTTTTATCGCGCAACGAAGTGCGACGCACAGATTGGGCGCTATTGAAGGGGGAAAAGAAAAAAATGTCAAACAGAAAGGGAATAGAAAAGAAAGACGGTAATATGTTAAATGGTGTNGTTTTATCGCGCAACGAAGTGCGACGCACAGATTGGGCGCTATTGAAGGGAGAAAAGAAAAAAATGTCAAACAGAAAGGGAATAGAAAAGAAAGACGGTAATATGTTAAATGGTGCATTAAAACCGTTTTAAATAGTTAATTAAAAATGTTTGCTGTATATTGCGAGTAAGTACTCACCGTGTGTTGTTGCTTTGTGATCGGCGCACTCTTCGTCTTTGCGCCTCTGCTAGACGTTTGCTTTCCTGTTCCGTCTTCAGTTGTTCGATGCGTTCGCGGATTTCGGGATCCTCGCAAATGTCTGTGGGCGTAAGTGGGAATAAGAAAAATATTTCAGAGCACTTGCTTCAATTTTATAAAACGGAATTAGCATGTCGAACTCTTTTTTGACACAGTCTTATAAAATACTTGAATAATTCGGAAAAGTATAGGATACCTGAAGGCGTTTCATCGTCTTTATTTTTGGCATTCAGATCAGCACCGCATTGCGCAAGCATCTCGAGCACCTCCAACTGTTTAATGAACCAATTGAAATTTGTCAATTGAGCTTATGAAGTAAACAAATTAAATTTATGTAATTTTAAGAACCTTTTCAATTAATTCAATTTTATTTTATAACTAAGTTTAATTAGATTTTTTTAATTTGTTTTCTTTTGTTTTGATATTTTGTTATAGTTTTTACTTTTAGCTTTGTTTCATTTTTTTAGATTTAATTTAAATTTATTGTTGCTTTCTATTTTATTTTGTATTTAGTTTCTATTAATTTAATTTTGTTTTCGTCTGTTTTATTTTTTAATTTTATCTTATTTATTTTTATTCAATTTTATTTGATCCCACTTCATCTTTATTTTGTTTCTTTTTATTATACCCGAGCGCACTTGTGCTCAAGGGTATTATAACTTTGTCCACATAACGGTTGTTTGTAACAGGCAAAACGAATCGAGATAGATATAGACAAATGTATACATAAATGATCAGAATGAAAAGAGAAATCGATTAAGCGGTGACTGTCTGTCCGTCCGTCCGTCCGTCTGTGCACACGATAACTCAAGTAAAAATTGATATATCTTAACGAAACTTGGTATGTGCACTTCTTTCATTCGTAGGACGGACGGTATTGAAAATGGGCAAAATCGGACAATAACCACGCCTACCTCCCATATAACGGTAATTTGGAGAAATACGAATTCTTCGATAAATCAACAAATATTAAAGCTAATTTACTCAAAATGTATGCTTGCAACAATTCTTTGCCAAGAAATACGTTTATGACAAAATTTTGGAAAATGGGCGTAGCACCGCCCACTTATATGTATCTCGGTAACCGTTCTACCAATTTGTACCAAACTCGGTATGATTATTGTGCTTGCCACATAGAAGCAAAACGTTGAAAATTATTGGAATCAGATTCAAATTACGACCACTTTTCATATAACGGCAAATTTCAGAAATGCTTGAAACTTCAATATTTCGAAATTTAAGGACGCTAATTTACTCAAAGCTGATACGCATCGGCTTACCATGTAGCGGTACCTGCGCCGGGTATTTAATGTTCGGCTCCGCCCGAACTTAGACTTTCTCTTTTGTTTTTTATTAACTTTTTTATATTTTTTAACTCTTATTTATTTTTTTATTGCTTTTGTTTTTGGTTTTTAATTTTCTATTTCTGTTGTTTTAGTATTTATAACCATTTTTTTGTGTTTTAATATTTTATGGGGTTTTGTTGTTTTATATTACTTTTATTTTATCTTCATTTTGTGTTTTTTTTTACTTTATTTATTATTGCTATTAAATTTTTTACGCTTTGTTTATTTTATTGTTTGTTTTATTATAATTTTTTATTATCTGTTATTTTATTTTTATTTGTATTTTATTATTATTATTTAATTTCGATTTTATTTTACTTTTAACCGACTTCAAAAAAGGAGGAGGTTATCAATTCATTGGGATATATATATATATATTTTTTTATCTTACCGGATAACTTTGGACTACCTGAAAAGGAAAGGTGGTACCTCAAGGGTGGTCCCATACAAGTTTGGGTTAGTTCCGATTTTTGGATCATGAAGAAACTAACGGTACGCCTGTTGTTATTTTTTTAATAAATTTTTTGAATTAAATTTAATTTTATTTTTACTTAGCTTTCCTTTTATTTTTTTATTTTATTTTGTGTTATTATTATTTATACCTATTATATATACTATATATATGTATAATTATTTTTTAAATTTTTATTTAATACATATTTGTTTTTTTGTTATTATTTTTGTTATTTTTTTCTTGCTTAATTTTTAAATCATTCCGTTACTTTTTGTTTTTATTTTTTATTTCATTTTAATTTCATGTATTTCATTTTATTGTGTTTTATTTAACTCTTTTGTTTAGCTTTATTTTGATAATTTCTTTTCAAAAATATTTCTTACATGTCCCCAACACGCGGCCGCATGCACCGGTGACCACATATCCTTATCCACAGCATCCACATTGACATGCATCTCCAGCAGGAATTCCACCACGCGCACATAGCCATTCGCCGCAGCTATGTGCAGCTGTAAGTCAAAAATAACAAATAAGTTTTCTCCTCACATAAATCCCCTGGTCTTCCTCCTCTCAACTCACCGGCGTCGCACCCTGGCAATCGGGCTCCTCCAAATCGCCGCCTGTTCGCGCCACTTCCATCAAATCCTTCAGCATCTGACGCTCCGTCGACGAGCGCGTCTCATCGATCAGCTCTTGCGTAACGCCGCGCTTCGACATCTCAGCCTCAATGTAGTCCAATGTGCTCTCATCATCGCACAGATCATACGGCATATTGCCGTCCGTATTCACCGCCAGCAAATTCGCACCATGATCGATGAGTATACGCACCAACTCCAAGTGACCGCAGGTGGCGGCCGCATGCAACGGTGTCCACTTGTCACTATCCTGCGCATCCACATTCGCACCATACTCCAGCAGCAGCCGCAACATCTCCACATTATTATCGATGCAACATTGATGCAATGCCGTCAGGCCATCCTCATTCGCCGCATCCGGTGTAATGCCACGCTCCAGCAGTTCCGCCACTTCATGCATATCATTACGACTGGCCGCCTCGAGCAACACCACGCTGCTCTCGAAGGATATGTGCCGGCTGCCGCTGCTAGAGTTCGAACGAAAGTGGTGTGTGGTATGACTGCTGCCGAGCGCCGAGGTCGCATTACCCTTGGCGCGTTGCAATTTCAGCCACTCCTTTTCCTTTTGACGTGCGACCTTTAGCTGCTGCGCCCGACGACTGATGGGAGAAAGAAAAATATGCGCATAAATGTATGGTAAAACAATAAACAAAACAAAAGGTGAGGTCATGACAAATGTGAATGTAGGAAGGAGGTGGCTTTTGTGGTTGCACTTACAGTCGAGCCAGCTGTAGGCGTTCGTGTGTCGGTAGATTTTCCACCGTTTGCATCTCGGCGACGAGGTCGGCATGCTCCATTTTCAGCTGTGACTTGTGCGGCTCATCCGCCTTGCGGTTTACTAAAATGCCCTTGACCATGTTTGCAGACTAAATAATTGGGTGTTGCTGTGGTATATTTATTGGTTATCTTATTCAACGATGAACGTCCGCCTTTGAAATGCGCGCGACCGCTAACGCCTTGATATGTAAGATCAGTTTGTTTGCTGGTGTGTTTGCGCATGTGACTGTGAATGTGCTGAGTAGATGTTAAAAAACAAATGCAAATTGCATCATTTCGCTTTCAGCGCTTAGTTAGACTTTAAGTTGCTGAGAGAGCTTTTGTTGATTTTTCTTTGTAGTTTTGCTCTGCTTAGAATTCGCTAGTAATTAAAACATTTATTTTTTTATTTTTGTTGCTTTTGTTTTGTTGATTTTGTGTGTTTAAGTGGCAAGTTTTGCTGGTTTGACCGCTTGCTGGCCGCGTCTTCCCTCTGCCTGCCGTTCAGCTGCCCACTAAGAGACGACTGCTGACTCACATCCTACCGCCGGTGCGCATGCGCAATCGCCAACTTGTCTATCTACCCGTATTGTAATTGATTTATTAATTTTTTTTATATTCAGTCTTATTTAGTCATTTCGTTTCGCTTTTGTGCGCCAGGAGGATCATGTGATGATCTGCAATTAAAGCAAAAAGATTAATTAACCAAGCAGCTTATAAAAAGTGCAAAAAAACATAGCGTAGAGAAAACTTATGCGCATGTATGTAATAAATAAAACTAAAACTTAATAAAAAAAATATAGATTATTTGAAATTCGCATACTAGATTACCATCATTTGATTTGATAGGTAAGACCGATTCGGATGGGATATATGATCCTAAATTTCAGAGATCTTACATGCACCTATTCTGCAAAAGCAATATAAATGAGGGATCGAGAACGCATTCTAGTTCGGGTAAAAAAGGTCTTGGGAACGTACTGCTACAGAACAAAACGATAACAAAAGTTTTGAGAACTTAACGTTAAGAATGCTTGTTGATGAATGACACTTTTCAACTTTCATGTCGTCTATCATTATGGTGAACTGTCCATTTATGGAACAAATTTTCATTTTCTGTGCAAGAAAAGTGCGTGTTTTAAGTCTTTCGTTAACTTAATTTGCATAATTATATTTCCTTTTAGATTAATTTTAATATTCAAACATTTCAAACTGCAAGAACGCTATGAGACATTTTCGCGAATAGTTCAGAGAAGATTTTGCCCCGTTTTTTTCTTCGAGAGAAAGTTCCTTAGAGTATTTTTCCCGGTTTGTTCTTTGCCAGAGCGTTCCAGAGTCTTTTGATCCCATTTTGTTCTCTTGGAAATGTTCCCGAAAGTATTGTTCGCATTTTGTTCTCTTTGTGAACGTTCCACAGGGTTTTGTTTTTATATAATTGCCGTTCAAAACGTTCTCGACAGTTTTGTAATCACTTACGTTCTTATGAAAACACTCCCGGAAGTTTTGTTTCTTATCTCGATTTCGGGTTTTAAGTGTGCTTGGGAACAAAACTATGAGAACGACATTTAGTTTCGATCATACATTTTTTTTCGGTCCCTGATTTAGTTAGGTATCTTCGAGTTTTTTCTTTTACACGTAATAGCCCATTTCCACCAAAAGCTTAATTGCAGTTAAGAACTCAGGCAAGAATTTTAACATAGGGTGATCGGCAAGNCCCGTTCAGAACGTTCTCGACAGTTTTGTAATCACTTACGTTCTTATGAAAACACTCCCGGAAGTTTTGTTTCTTATTTCGATTTCGGGTTTTAAGTGTGCTTGGGAACAAAACTATGAGAACGACATTTAGTTTCGATCATACATTTTGTTCTCGGTCCCTGATTTAGTTAGGTATCTCGATTTTTTTCTTTTACACGTAATAGCCCATTTCCACCAAAAGCTTAATTGCAGTTAAGAACTCAGGCAAGAATTTTAACATAGGGTGATCGGCAAGTTTTATTTCTTAATCTTTTTTTTTTGCTTTCGTATGCTTGTACTCGATATGTGCAATTACTCCCTACGAGTTGTAATCCGCTTTTTCCAATAGGCATAAACTGTAGTTAAGGCTTGGTGGAAATTCAATATAAGGCCTTTAAAAAGTTTAGTAGGGCTTTAAGGATAGGAAGTGTATGTGCTCGCACTGCGCTATTAAGCATAGCCTTCGCTTCACGAAAGCGGCAGAGCTCATTTGACCAAATATCTGGTCTCTGCAGATAATCCTTCAGCCTGCAATTTCCGGTAAGAATACCTGTGACGATTCATAATTTCGCTTTTTGCAGATTAATTAAAAATTAAAATCTCTTTAAATACATATCGATAGCTGAGTGGAAAATCGACCTATTTCGGCAGCCAGTTCGAAAACGCCCTATCTCAGAAAAAATTTTCAACAACGCCCTATTTCAGAATTCGGTCGAAGAATGCCCTATTTTAGAATTTAGTTGCAAAACGCCCTAACTCAAAATTCATTTCAAAAATGCCCTATCTCAACTGCCCATTTAAAAACGCCCTATCTCAGCTCATTTTCAATGTATTTTCATTTGAGATAGGGTGGTTTTTAACCGAATTCTGAGATAGGGTGTTTTTCAATAAAATTCTGAAATAGGGCGTTCTTCATTCAAACTCTGAAGTAGAGAGTTCTTAAATAGTTTTCTGAGATAGGGCGTTTTCGAACTGGCTGCCGAGATAGGTCGATCTTCCACTCAGCCATCGATATCGTACCTTTGCAGCAAAAGTGACATAATCCAAAAAAAAAATCAAAAACTCGAGAAAAAAGGCTTTACATTTTACAGGGTACAAAATGAACACACATTTTCAAATGACCTATTGTTAATCGATACACCTATGCAATTTTTACACAACACTCGGGCAGCAAAGGTATGATATATCCTGCATGTAAGGACTTTGCTTGGAGTAAACGTATTGAGCGCCATCAGTGCTGTTCTCCCATTAATCTACTTCACTTCCTCAGTTCTTCTTTCATTATATTTGGACCTATTGTTAGGTGCGGTTCAGGCCGTCGCTATTCGGGCTATTGTATATCACATTTTCCTTCAATCACTTGTGAAAATGTTATCTATATATATGTATATAAATATAATATCGCAAAACTATTGCAATTTTAATTTAAGTTTCCCAGATCCTTATGCCGGTTAAAGGGTTAATGTTCGCCGATGAACATCGAAAAGATCGTCCAATATCGGTTTGTATGCCGGAAATTTTGAAAAAATGGTCGCTTGTTTCTTCGTAATAACGGTTATGCACAGTAGCATTAGCGGTACGTATGTCATTTTTGGACGAATGGAGGAAAACCAGCGAAGAACGACACATGGGTCGGTATGCATAAAAAATAAGCAATTGCTTTTACTTGAAATTTCATACCTTTCAATTAAATTTGTTTGGAAAAATCGAGTATTTCATCAAGCAAATGCGAGTTCTCACAGTTCTCATCAAAGGACGCGATTTATGATCGAAACACCTTTATGTTCATTGTCCATAAGTGATACATGCTCACACATATATACATATATCCATTTTTAAAGCATTTTTAAGAAGTTGGCTATGCAAGGTTCTATAAGGCTCTTTAAAGACATTTGGGTAAAATATCCAACCCTCTTAAGTGCCTTGAAATGATGTGCGCAAAAAGTAAGAGGCACAATAAACTACACAATTTTGGCTCCTATCAAGGAATATTTATTTCTTTTATGTTTTTGCATTTAAATGATGTTACGTGTTACTTCTAAGTAATTGCATTAATTCATTCATTAAATTTTAATCACAAAAAAGTGATTTGAAGCATGAAATTGTGAACGAAAAACCAGTATCTAAGGATATGCAACAGGGTGGTCCACAAAAATGTTTAAAATTTTAAGCGTACCCCCCCTAAACGGGAAAAATAATACTCGTATTTTTTTGTTAAAAAAAACCAACGATATTTAGAAAAAAACATTGAAAATCATTATTTTTCGATAGAAAAACTCTGTTTCCCTTCAGGAGACTTCCAATAAAAACGATTTTTATGGCTACCCCAATTTCTTCTTTTTTTTTGTTTTTTAATGGACCTATAAAAAATTGTTAGTATCAAAAAATGGTTTAATAAACAATTGGGTATTGTTATTGGAAAGCACCTAAAGAGAAATAGAGTTTTCCGAAAAAAAATTAATTTTCAAGAACTCCATTACATTTCTACGAAACCGTGTTTTTCCCCATATAATTACATGGAACATTTCGTGCGCTTTGAGGCAGTTCTAAATATTATTAAAAAAACACGGTATTTTTTCCATTTAGAAACATCCTAGGGGTGAGAGCATAAAATTAAAAAAATTTGTTTGGACCATCCTAATATGCAAGCATGTTTTGTAATATATAGTATGATATAAGCACAAACGCATACTATATACATACATTCACTCACATTATTTTATATGACTGCTTTAAATATGCTCTAGTAAGCCAATTTAATTCGTCCTTTTTGGCGAATACTGTGCGTTAGATCAACAAGTCAAACGACGATAAATAAATATATGTATGTATATGTACATATACTATGTATGTACGTACATTAGACCGTACGACCTTACAAGCAAAAACAGAAAGTGCGACATACTTACGTTGGCCAGATTTCTGCGGCCAAAAATCGGGACTTTTCTAAAGCATCGAATCTAAACATACAATTTTGTTTTTAGCATAAAAAGACAAAACATCTTTTAATACAGTTTTATTTAAAACAAAACAAAGAGAAAAATATTAAAAATTATCGCAAAAATGTATACACACAATATATACTGAGGCGAGAACGTATTTAGGGAAAGGTTTATTATTTTTTATATGCAAATATAACTTACTATCTAAAAAAAAAAAAACATGTAAGTCAAAATTTAAAACTTTGTAAAACATTTATAAGAATTCGACGAATTTTAACAAATGTTGATCAAAAGTTTAATCAGATTTTCTCTTTTGTAGGCCATTAAAATATAGTACAATAAAGGGCAAGTTTGAAGCAGTACCCTTGATTTTGGCAACACCTTCCACAAAAAATTTACCAAAAATCAACGGTACTCATAATGTTTCTAAGAAATCTAAGTAAAAAGCTCAAAATATTTATGACTCTGTCGAATTTTACTCATTTTTGTACAAAGTTTGAAATTTTGACTTACACGATCGAGCTATACTATCGTAAAAAATTATAAAAATTAATACTAAACATTAAATAATCGAGAGGAATAGCCAAAGAATGCAAAAATGTCTCTTCTTTATTTATATTTTCGCCATTGCTGGCTATGTTTATGGCTCCCTCATATTCTATTTCCTTTGTGAGAACGAAAGTGCTGCCACGTTTGTACGAAAAATTGTTTTTGGGCCAAGAGCACAGGGAGACTCTTATTAAATTAATAAATAAAATACTGAAAATCGGGACTTACTTGGTACAAATGTGAAAAATCGGGACACTTATACGTACGACTTTTAAAAAATATTCAGCGGGATAATTTTCTCAAAATCGGTACTGTCCCGCCAAAATCGATACGAATGGTCCCCGTAGCCATACTCCCTGAATCTAAAGTATCTTTGTAAGGTAATTGCGAAAAAACTCGGCAATATTTTTATTTTTTTTTATTAAAATTAAGTAGCTCTGCTGGAATAA